CGTGGCGGTGCTGCCGAGCGCGGAATTCTCCCTGACTGCACTCGTAATTAATGCATCTGACGATAACCGCGACGCAGATCTAATCGGGCAGATCCCCCCCCCCTCCCCCCGATTGTGGCGCGGCGCGCGAAAATAAATGTGCGCGCACCGTTTGAGAAATGCGTCGGCGACACACGAGCCGACGTAAAAGTGGATGAAACAGATGCATGGACGTAAAGACGCTAAGTATGACATCGATACTTCGGTTCTTTTCGTCTGGCATCAGGAATGCGTCAATGCTAATGTTGTTATGTACCTAAATGGCGATCCTCGGTCGCTGCGCCATGAGAAATCGGCTTCTCTCGGTAGCAAATGTTGCTTGTTTCTCTCGCTCCGTTGCCGAAGGTACAAGGAAACTGTTTAACAATACGCGCGTGAACTCCGACCGCCAATTACTAATCTAACCTAGCCTAATCTAATCTAACCTAACTTACTTATTATCCTGCGTTCAAGAATCATGACACGTGACTCGCAAATGCGAGCGCGATTGGCAGCCGATCCCGCGGCATAAGAAGAAATCTTTGTCTCTCGTTGCGAGAGCGTTCCGGAAGAAGGAGAGAAAAGAGAGCGGCCGGCTCTCTTTCTTTCGCTCTTTCTGGAGCCGGAAGAAGAAAAGACGAAAGGAAAAGAAGAAAGAGGCAAGGCAAGTCCACGTGGTGGAGTCCGAGTGTGCGAACGCGCGGTGAGCGGTCCGCCGCGCTTGGCGCGAGTTCCATAAAGGATTTCCGCCGCTCTTTTCTCCCTTGGAGGAGGGTGACTGTGGCGCGCTTAGAGCGTGCCTCTCTCTCGCATTGTATAATAATGTATCGCATATGGTCGCATCTTGTAAAACTCTGCGGGCGTTCCTCCCTCCCTCTTTTCCCTTTCCCTCCCGCCGCTCCGTCTTGTCCCAAGCCGAGGATGAAGACCCGAATGAGGTCGTTCCCGGGGTCCCGGTTCATTCATCCGGCTCAACGGGGCCTTAGAGGTGACGAAAGGTCCTGAAAAACCGCCTCCAGGTCACGTTCGACGGGGGGCCGAAGTTTGCGGATTTCGCTCGGTCTCGTCGTTCGACGTTGCCCCGGCAACGTTTTACCTGCATTGGTTGGCCGGGTCGGTCGGACGTTCGCAGAAATACGGGGTGTGGTGTTTCACCGAGAGAAGTATAAATAAGGGGGAAGAATGTTTTATGGGATTTTGAGGGTAACATGGTTGGGTTGCCGAGGACTTTGATTCGCGTTATGCGTCACATCGCGACTGTCTCGCGCTGTTTCATGCCATGTCTCATGTTTCCGTCCAAAGTAGCTCACAACAATGTAAATTATAGTTCTTCTGGAAAACGCTAATCCTACTTGTTGACGGTAGATTAGTGGCAGAAATTTATTTAATCGAAACTTTCAAAGCGATAAGTTCATTTTGATTGCGCTATCTTTAACATACTTATCAGTATTAGTATTTAAATTGTTATTAAATTGTCTGTCACACGCCATACTATTTAATTTCCTTCTAATTTTTCTCGAGATTGAAAGATATTGTTTATATCTTTTAGAATATTTCAGTATACTGTGATACATTTTGATAAAATATTTTTTTAGCTCGAGAGTGAACTGTTTTTGTCTATTATTATCACATATTTTTCACTTTCAATTTTCTTCAACCAACGGTATCTCGCTCGATTAGCAAACAAGGCGCGACAGATCCGATTAGATAAAAATATGCGGTCTTACACGCCGTTGGAGACAAACCAGCTTCACCCGTGACCATCGTTCCATTGAGAGTAGGGTAGTCAATAGGATCAGAAACGATAACAATGTGTCTCGAGTCAAGAGACCCTCGAAGGAGCAAATACTTAGTCTGCGGTTAGTTCCCCCAGATTAGATTTCGGTCTCACAAACAGCCCTTCGAATTTATGATTTTCTTTCGCTTTCGAAAGAAAGAATTTCTTCCTTTGTAAATATCGTCATTTTAAATTACTCCATTTTTTTTAAATTTTAATAATACAAATTCATATATATTCCATTTTCATATGTATATATGTATATACACTTTTTCTCTTGTAATTTAATTTCGTTCTGCGAAATCTAGAATAGACTTTTAGCAGAATGTTTATCTCATCCGTACGGTATTTCAACACAAAGTCGATTTACGTAATCTTTCATTTATGTAGATTATTTTGTTCCAGCAGATGTTTCTCTTACGCATACTTATTCCTCGTGTCTTTATTTTCCAATCATGCAGATTCTATCACGAATGGCATTTCGTGTATTCACATCCTCCCTTTGTTCTCATTCATTTTATTTTCGTCGATATCTCTGATCTGTGGAAATTTCACTTGCAACACCGTGAGCGTATCTTTCAATTCGTTCAAAGCTTGACGATCGAAGAATCTAGAATGAAATATTTGCGAAGATGCGGAAACTTAAACGTCACTTTAAAAATTCCAGAATCTATAATTTGCAGAAATTATTACATAAAATCTAAATATCTAAATAAAGTTTCCGTAGCTGACGATTAGATTTGAATAGATCTAATAGGTCAGCTATTAGATCTATTCAATTAAAACTCTTTGTGTGTCACCGCTAAATTATTGTTGTTAAAATAAACTTAGTACTAATTCGTTTTTGTACAGCTTATATCATTTTTGTATCATAGAGATCGTAGAGATCATAGAGATTGAGTCTCTTTGTGCTAAAAGATCTGGATTCACATCCATTGACAATTAGAACATATATCAGATAATTAATATATGTCAATCAAATGATTTGATCATCATCTCACTCGAAAAACAATAGTAAATTAATGAGAATATCTTTATATGACACTCTCTATTATAGGCTAAAAAAATGAAAATATATTTCACTTGTTGAAAAAGAGTAACAATTTTCACTCTTTTTAGATTTAAGAATTAAATTTTCATTTCAAAGGAATGAAACCTCACTTTTTTAAAAATAAGATTTCACTCCTTTGATGTGAAAATTTAATTCTTAAATCAAAGAAGAATGAAAATTGTCTTTTTTTTTTCAAGAAGTGAAGAGTGATTGTATTTTTACTTTCTTGAAGTGAGATTTCACTGCAAGAAATTTAGAGTATTAACACATGTATACAGAAGAGATCACCACATCTCTAACAAGAGACGTAGTACAGACTTTGAAGAAGATGCTTTAATTCTCTTCAAAATTAACATAAATTTAATCAACATAAATTATGTGGGTTTTATAGACCCAGCTTTAATAACTGTGTTACAGATTTTGATATTTACTGCTTCGGAGAATTAATGTGTATATAGAAATAACGAAAGCAAAGTATGTAGAAAAAAAGTGGAAGTTCAGCATGCAAAGAAAAAAAAAATCCAGACATTTTTTGGACATGGACATTTAATGATCTACGAGATTTATTTATAGCGAAGATTGAGGAGCGCGAGCTTTTCTATCGCGTCCATTTTCTCTGCGATGAAACATATCGCGCTGTTCGTTCTATCGTCGCCAAAATCCGTCCATTTCCGATCCAATACCTCGACATCGGTCGTAAAGGGCCGTGCGTACGCGGGTACCGGCTTCGAGATATCGACGTTATAAGATCGGGCCACGTCTTTATCTAGGTTCTTTAGTAGGGGGCGCGGGGTGGTAATATATTTGGTAAGCGCGGAGCGAGATAAGTGGTTAGGTAGGTAGCCGCGGCGTGGTTGTCGGCCAGATAGTCGACTGGCTCCGGTAATGGAGACTGCAGGGTGCCGCTAATGCAGTAGCGATGTCACGGGGCCCGGTGCATCGGTATATTCTTCTTTCCCTCCCTTTCCGTCCTTCCGCTCCCACCTTTGCGCGGAGCCACCGGACGTATCTTCGCCGGTCTTCGCGATATCGGCCGACCTGTATGTCCTTCTCCTTTTTTCTTTTTTTCCTTTCCTTTCTCACTTTTTCTCATCTTTTTCTCGCTTTCTCGACGCTCGACGCGGCCTCTCTTTAGCGGAACTCCATTGAGGACATTGGTTGATATCAAGGGGATATCTCGAAGCGATAGCAATCGGACGTGTGAAATGTGTTTATACTGAATAACGCGACACTGCTAGTCGCGATGAGGCTCATTTTCGTAAAGACTATTTTCCTCCTTTTCTCTCGATTAACTGAACATGAGAGATTTATTAAAGCATAGAGAGGAGCACTGCGTGTAGCCTTAATAATAGTGTACGCGTCGTACATTTGTTGTACATTTGTTTCACTCTTTGATCGCGTGAGGCAAACGTTTCATGTCGTAATATTTCTCACCTCGAGAATATATTTCTTTCCAACACTCACGAGTATGAAAATCAAACGAATACACAATGTGAAAATTGTAAGCTTTGGCTGTGTCAGGATAAACAAGATTATATATAGAACAACAACAGTCTCTAAATTTATTTTACAACAACAGTCTCTAAATTTATTTTACAACGAATTAAACCACATGTTACACACAATTCGAAAAAGTTAAGTGATAAGATTGAATTTATTTGTAAGGTCCCTCGTTATTAATTAATTCATTTTTAACTCTTAACTTTTATCTGCCAATCGAGTCTTTCCGATCTATTATGAAATAAGTCGAAATAGATTCCGTTCGGAATTATTCCATTTTCAATAGAAATTTAGAGAATAATTTGATTAGCTGAATTTAATTAGTGTTAAGAAAATCGTAGTTATATTGGTAGTCATACAAAGGTATCTGGCTGTTGGTCAACTTCACCGATTCATCGATAAAACTTAGGATTACTGACTACCGACTCATTGTAGACCCGGATTCTTTTAATATCTCTACTTATCATTTATGTGTGAAGCGTGGACACATTGTATCTTGACCTGAAGGATTTCATATCGTCGACTATTTATTGCTATCCTAGATCTATTACAATATCAACATACTGAAACGCGACCTTTATACGACACGATCTGCGCAGTCTACTTGGTATGCATTGCAATATAATATTGATCTCTTCCGTTCTGTGTTCGCAGGATGTTCGGCAGCATGAAGCGATGCGCGCGTTGCCAAGCGGCAATTCTCGCGTCCGAGCTGGTGATGCGCGCGCGCGAGCTCGTTTTTCACGTGCGGTGCTTTTCATGTGCGGCGTGCGCCGTGCTCTTGATGAAGGGTGACCATTTCGGCATGAGGGACGGCGCCGTGCTCTGTCGGCTGCACTACGAGATGGGCGCCGAACTGCATCCGGCCCAGAGTCCGCCGGTCCCGGTCTATCCACCCGGACCACACTATCCCGGCCAGCCCTTCCCCTCGCCCGAGTTCCTCCATCATCATCATCATCACGCGCCATCGCACCCTCATCACTCGATGCACCCCCAACACCCACATAGTCACGTCAGTCCGGTGCCACTGCAACCCTCCACGCCTTCCGTCCCCGATGCTTCTTCGCCCCCAAAGGTGCCCTACTTCAATGGCGCCGCCGCCGTGGTCCCACCGCCCAGACAGAAGGGTAGACCCAGGAAGAGGAAGCCTAAGGATCTTGAAGCTATGACTGCGAGTCTTGGTGAGTGTGAATTTTATAATTGTACCTGATGTAGCGTGGGATCTTTAAGATATGAAAATAAACATCGAAATATCTGAGAGCGGTATTCATAGTCGGATTTTATATTTAGGATCGTCTTAAGTATAGTCTTAGAGCAATCATACACCAAAAAACTTAAGCAGTAAAACGTAAGCAAATTGACCAATCACAGTAGAAAATAAGGCTATAATGTAAACAGTAGCCAATCCAATGTGTTGATTTCTTTACTTACGCCTTACTTAAGTTTTTTTAAGTTTTTTATGTGCCGTGGTCCTTAAGATGCCATGAACTAATTAGAGGACTTAGCATTTTATGACATTACTTAAAAAGACATTATTTAAATCGACTGTGAATACCGACTAAAATTGTAAAATCTCAAAGTTTCTAATTTTCGAAATCTTAAAATTTTGAAAATCTCGCTGTTTTACAATTTGGATGACTATTCGTGAGCTTACACTCTAAATTTCTTGCAGTGAAATCTCACTCCAAGAAAATACAATCACCCTTAAAAACAAGTGAAAATATTTCACTTCTTGAAAAAGAGTGACAATTTTCACTCTCTTTAAAGTGAATTTTCACTTTAAAGGAGTGAAATTTCACTTAAAAGAAGAAGAGTGAGATTTCACTCCTTTGAAATGAAAAGTCATTCTAAAAAGAATGAAAATTGTCGTTCTTTTTCAAGAAATGAACGGTGGTTGTATTTTCACTTTCTTGGAGTGAAATTTCACTGCAAGAAATTTAGAGTGTAAAATGGTAGACAAGAGTAGTCTACAGATCGTGGAGTCTAGATACATCGTTGTTCCCAAAAGGCAACCTTCTATCGCGCCACGCTGGGAGAACGCATGACCGACCTGACGTGATTTACGGGCGTGCGTGGGCGCGCGACGCTTGCCACCGAAGCCTGATAAAATTTGTCGGCGCGACATAAATTCCCGAATCGAATCCTCCGACGAAACGCATACGCGACGTGTGGGCGGCACGCCGGTTAGGTTGAGAGAACTCAATTTCCGATTGTCGAGACCAATCGTGGGAACAAGTTGGTGATACCAGCTGGCTTCGACCAAAGAACCACTGCGGACGAAACTTCTACTTGCCACCTCTTCCCTATGCTCCTTTTTTCCGCTCATTCTCGCTGGAGGAGGTCGCTCGATGTCGCCGTGTCGTCGTGAAAAAAGATTGTGGCGGCGTGCAGGTGATCGTCCAGTACCACAAGTTGGCCTCTGATCTATCGTGGATCATGCAGGCAATTTTTTATGGCCATTGCTAAGGGCTGCGACGAGCCACGCTTCCGAGGCGAGATAAATGGTCGTGTGTTTAGTAACACTTGAATTATGGTTGTAGTTCGCAGCGTGCGGTCTTGCATACGAACAAATCGTTCATATAGATTGCTTGTATTAATTATTTAATAAGCGAAGCCACGGTACTATATGGTCGACTGAGCAGCGAGCAGTTTCGTGTTACTAGACTAAAAGCGCAATTTGTTCTTGTAAGAGAGAGAAAAAGAGAGAGAGAGAGAGAGAGAGAGAGAGAAAGAGAAGAGAGTTAGAAGAGACAACCATCAAAATTGGGAAGAAATTAATTAAAGAAATTAATTAAAGAAATAATTTTCTGAAAATTATTTAGAAATGTTAATTTATTTCACGAATCTATCAAATATCCTCCGTCACTTTTCGTCCCAATACTCTGATGCGTCGTAGTTTCCGCGATTCTCGAATAGAGATATTGACTAGACTCGGTTTCAAGTACGAGCGATCACGCTGAGTCGCAACGCGACGGAAGCGAGTTCTAACGTTGTTTGATGCGTATCACAGCTCATTAGTTTCTCGAGTGCAAAGAGGCGGATTAAAGCGGGGAAAGGGGAAGGGAAACACACAGCGTATGCGAAAGGCCCGTGGATACATGGCCAATTACAGCTCTATGCAGCAAATAGTTTACAGGCACGATACCTCATTCACAGCCACGTCGGTCTATCGCACCTCTGCCTACAAGGATGATACTGTCGACATTGCGCGATTAAGCTCGAGCAAATTGACTTGGCAGGATAAAACACAAATTTGTGTTTCTAATTCGATTCTTCTTCCAAATTAGGAATTTTCACGAAATAGCTTTTAGATGATTAAACTACGTGTTGACTGTCATATATGATATGTTACATGTAATCGACGTTTCACTAAGAGAAAACTTTTTGGTAACTATAATTACATATTACTATAATTATGACTATTTTACTGCTATAATATTATTAATAGTTATATTTGTATAGTTCTATCAACAAATAAATGTAATTAATAAAGACAACTAATAGAAAATATCTATGTATGTATAATTATAATTTATATTATTATCACAAAAATAGTTGCAATTGTTATAATTTAACTGTAATTTATAGTCTTAAAAATGACTATAAATTATAGTCATATTATAGCAATATACATTATAGCATATATAATTGCAATAATTCTTATGATAATAATAATGTAAAAAAATTATAGTCATTTTCGATTGTCAACCATATACACACTCACACACACACACACACACACACACACACACACACACACACACACACACACACACACACACACATTTGTTGATATAATTATAGTTACTATTACTAACATTATAATAATAATAATCATAGTAATAGTAACATGTAATTATAATTACCAAACATTAGACTTTGCAGTTTTAATGTCATTGATGATTGATTTTGTCGAAACATTTTAAAACGCTTATAAAAAATAATTGTTATTCGATGACATGCAATTTATATTTACATAAATATCTAAATAAACATCAAGTCTGATCAATCCAAGTCTGATTGTTTTTGATGAAAATTCTGAATTTATTTTGCAGACCTAAACGCGGATTACATAGACATGCCCTTCGGCAGAGGAGGCCCCGGAACCCCCGGCATGCCCGGCTCCAACAGCAGGACAAAGCGGATGAGAACAAGCTTTAAGCATCACCAGTTAAGGACGATGAAGAGCTATTTCGCGATCAATCACAATCCCGATGCGAAGGATCTCAAGCAGCTTTCCCAGAAAACTGGCTTGCCGAAAAGGGTGTTGCAGGTAAATAAAGACTGTTCGACTCATGCGATTCGCAATTCCTCGTTTTCTCTTGATACGAGTTAAAACGCGATGTTGAAACTGGAATTTCCTCATTTCGATTTCGTTAGTTCTTAACCGTGTCGCATTTAGCTTCGAAAGTAGTTATTCGCTGATGTAATTGCTACTTTGATCAGATCTAATTCTGATACAAAACATATTGTACTCTTTAATCGTTTATTAAATATACGTATAATTAAATATTTATGCGAATTCTTATAATTAGATGAAATTTTAAACATTTGAAATGTTGGATTTCTCCGTAATGTTTTAAATATATCCTAAAAATATATTGAAGTTTTAAAATTCCGAATGATTATGAATTTATCTACTTTAAATTGCATTCGATACAACTGCAATTTTTTGTAGACTAAAAAAATGGTCTGGTTGGATTAAATAGTAATTTTGATCGAAAACGGACGAATCAGAATTTTCTGATTAAATCTACTAGAATTCTGGTTGAGATAATAGAAATCTGATATAATTGTTCTAGTAAAAATAAGAATTCTATAAGTAGATTTTACGAGAAATATTGTACCAGAATTTCGGTTATCTCACTAGAATTCGGTCACATCAACTAGAATTTTAATAAATTTAACCAGAAAATTCTGATTTGTCCATTTTTAACCAGAAATTTTTTTCAGTAAAATTCATTAGGTTTAACTTACTAGACCTTGTGTATATAAATTACCATGAAAAAAATAACGAGATGAGAGTGCGAAAGAAAAATCGAAAGATGGATAACCGGTGGTTCTCGCTCAGCCCCTTTGCCTCTCTTACATTTCGGGAGGGTGCGCCCTATAAAAATATTCACGTACGCGAGTCACGCGTAGACACACGCGCTTCTCCCAATTAGTGCAGCGCGTACGGCGTGGCTGCAAAGTTAAAAGAACCGCGCGGAACGAAGCGATATTTCCGTCGACGAGAAGCTGCGGCCTTTCTCCGTAATTACGAGCCGGCGTCAATCCGGAGACAGTCAAAACCCCCGGCGGACAGCTAAGCTACGTCGTAACGTCGAACCCGCGCCGGCTTGCTCTCGTTAACCCACTACCGTTAAATTATTAGGTTGTTACAAAAGTTTCGCGCGCGTTCCTTTGTAAAACATGCCATAGACGCGCGGATGAAAAGGAAGAACGATCGGGGAGATACTGACGATTTAAAGGTAAATGAGGCGAGGCGAAACGCAGTGGAAATGAAAAGTTTTGGTCAGGTGAGATTTTTTCTGTTCTTGGTTTTTTTATAAATATATACATTTAATTTCAATGCCTGTTAAATTTTAGTTGTAAAGATCAAATGCAGGACTAAAAGCTTAGAGATTTAAAGTTGCGCAATTAAGAACTCCGAAATACAGAGAGAAGTTTGAATATTCTTGAAATCCTAAAGCTTTAAATTTTTAAAGTCTCATAACAAGATTCCAATGGGATTCCAGAGAAATTTTATATTCGTAATTTTCAGCCACTGGAGATCAAATACATAGAGTACAAAATATATAAAAAAAAAAAAATTTAATATATTATACCATTATTTAAATACGAAAAATCGTTCTGATACCTGTCAAGTTTTAATTATATTAATTTTATTTATATTTTTATTGAATATAATTTAATTATATTTATTTCTAATTATATTATAGTTATAAATACATATTTAATAAAATTAAAATATTTCTAACCCGCGGATATAAAAAGATGATAAAATGAAATAATTATTTTATTCTTTATTTTATTTTTTAATTACTTTTATTTAATATTTTTAATTTATTTTTTAATTACCCTGTACTGTTAATCCATTATAAGAACATAATTTAGGTTATTTTTAAGTGGTATAGAAAAATTGATTCCAAAAAAATTACTAAAATAAAGGTATTGAAAGAAGAAGTTTTGAAATATAAAGGGTAATTATATATTGAAGAATGAATACGGTTTATTTTATCTTACGATTTATTTTATCTTTTTCTATACCCTTGAGTTCGAAATTTTTAAATCTGTACGTAATGATAAATTCTTAATACAAATCTCTGTAACGAAACTATCACTTCTTTAAAGTAAAGCAAAACGTAATTTTAAAAAGTACAATTTGAAAAAAATGACGCCGTTCAAAAATCATCGCCATATTTTCTCCAATCTTCCGCATAACAATCATTCCGGTTGTTACATAGCCTCGATTCTGCGCCCATTCGTCGAACCGAAGGAGAGGGTTGGAGGTGGCCGCTATTGTATTCGTAGGGTTCTTGGTCGCCATCTTGCTTGATATTGATCGCGAAACGCGCGAATACTTGCCCGCCGCGCGCGCACAGATACACCGGTAGACGCGCGCGCGCGAGATCACGCATTCGAGGTGGGACACGCACAAGTAGTCGGATCGCGAGTTCTTTCGTTGGAAGTCCGCGGGGGAGGAGACTGTCTTGAAAATGGCGACGTCGGATCGCATCGTCTTTCATTTATCACGAATATAGAGGAAGCTTCGCGAAGGCGCGCACGCGTATCCGTGTGCGAGTCCACGTGAATAGGAGGAGGAACTCTTATCTAACGCTGCGCGTTTGCGGATGCATAAGACGTTCATGAATTATTTTCTGCATGACATGAATAACGTTGTTATTTCTTGATTATAACGACGGATCATTTGGATCCGAAAGCGAAAATTTTTAGACGATTGTATAATCTTACGATTGGTACTAAATGAAGTTTTAAATTGTAGATAAAAATCTTTGAACACACCTAACTCTGTCAATCATCGGAAAGTGTGGTGAAAGTATTTTGTACTTCAAATAGTTATACGTTTTAGAACTTAGCTGTATAGTTTTTATAGGTTTTTTTTTATTAACCCAAGACGTCACGATGAACATTAACGTGCTTTCAAGCTGTCACTTCAAATTGTATAACATAAGAATATTTTAGAACAAATATTAAATTATTTTTCCAATCTTCTTCACGGAATTAAACAAAGTAGCTTAACTGCATTCCTTGTTTAATTCATGAAAATATATTTTATCTAAAACTCCTTTTTTTCTTAATTCTTTGTCTTTATTCTATCTTCGTCAAAAATGTGTATGTTACTGTTATATTAAACGATCAATGTCTTTCATCTCATAACCACAGTCGCACTTATTTATTTAGTTTTTTCTGTGTTATGATTTTCTAAAGTTATAATGATTTACTCTTAATTGATTGATGGAAAGTAATGAGATAGTTTTCTTCATTAAAATTAAAGAATCAAGGATTTTTATTTTCTTTATTATAAAAATTCTTAAAATAATTAATGCCTTTAAAAATGTCGTGCATTAAAAATAATGCTTGCGTTTTATGCCACATTTCTTGTTTAAAATAATTTTTATATTATAGTTGAAGGTTACGCAACATCACTTTATCGTTTTCTGAAAATATTTACGTTAAGTCCGTAATCAATTGTTTAAATTAATCGCGTTTCCTCTCTCTTATAATTGAATTTTGTGAGCTCATATGCGAACTTGAGCGATAACTCGAGCTGTCGTATGTAACGATCGAAATCCTCTGCCCGTCTTGTTCTCAGGTCTGGTTCCAGAATGCGCGAGCAAAATGGCGGCGTATGGTACTAAAGCAGGAGGGCAAGTCCGACAAGTGCGACGGCGGAGTGGACGGCGGTAATCTCGGTGACCTTGAGCTCTACGGGAACAGCACCGGAAGGGGCGGGCCGCCGGTGAGTCCGCCCTTCATGCTCGGCGGTCCCCACAGTCCTGCGTCTTTGGCGTCCCTGGACTGCGCGTGATCCTTGACGTCCGAGTTCGTGCTTTCTAGTTAGCGCGTCGCACATCCTCGTCTTGCGACAGGACATCGATATTGGGACGTGCACCCTTACGGACGTGAGTGAAATCGTTGGCGAGTGCGTGAAAACAATGAATTGTGAATAGTCGGTGAGCGTGTAAAAAGCAAAGAGGAATAACTTTTCCGCGAACGAAAATTTGCGGACGGATTAGCGAAGACCACTCGTGGAGCAAGACTCGAGGAGTGCATTTTTTTTTTAGAGCACTGATTTTTTTCTGTCGAATTGAGAGTTCTCTTTCGATGGACGAAACATATGAAAAGTTTATTTCTTGTTATCCTCCCGCAAGTCGAAAATGAACTTCTCGAGGCCCTCGCTTCGAATCAAGATGATATATGTAAAATTTGACGCGCTGACGCATGAATCCATTTAATTGATAAAATCGTTGTATTTATTGTAGCTCGAATTGCGGCGCTCCGCCGCGAAACACTAAAGTCGTTCGTTGAGGGCAATGTAATTAGTAAACGAGATTTATTTATTCGCCTAAGTCTAACTAAAAATCGCGAACATTACCAGTGCTGTGAAAATTCTGCGTTTCGCGAGTTCTCAAACAGTTGTCGGTTGCTGTCATCTGACAACGAATGAAACTCTCGCGCGGTCTTTCATTTATTATACGTTTGAAGGACATTAATTGTTACATTGGTCGACGAAACGATTTATTGAATTACTGATTATTTGATATTTTTTAACTTCACCGTATGCGTATCTTGTCATTCCTGTGTGAGAATCTCATTTTTTAATTCTTTAATCACAATCGATATTCGTGAGTCCACACTCGGACATTTCTTTTAACTATGTTGCGAAAAATTGTTTATAATAAATGTTTTTCATACAACCTTACATCCCATATAGGGTCTTCAGCAGTTACAACGAAACCCTTGCTTAGCCATTCTATGATTGTCAACTGACGGCTAAGGTTCTGTCAACCAGTACTGGATCATTATTGGCAAATAATTCACTGTCAAATGATGGCTAAAATTCTGTTAGCCATCACAGTCTAATAACTAGCTGACAAATGACGGCCAAAGTTTTGTCAACCAGTACTGGGCCATCACTGGCAAATGACTAACTAAAATGACTAGTCCCAAGTTATCGTCCAGTACTTAGTCAGTACTGTGTAATTTGCCAATACCTGGGCAGTACTTGAACTGGCCATCAATAAGTAATAGTCCAGCATAGGCTGATTATAAAACTCTATATGGGATAATTTTAAATCATGTAATCTTATATTCCTCAAACCTTTAAAATGAATAAAAAATATTTAATTACGTTTAATTTAAGCAAAGATACATTAATTTAAAATATGTAGGACCTGTGAATACAAATTAAGCAAATTTCGAAGCGAATACGAATTAGGATTAATCAAATTGATTACTACAGAGAAAGAATGGTTTTGCTGATCAAAAAATCTAGATACAGATTTGAGAACAATTTGTTGGACTATCAGAATAATTATGTAAGGCATTAATTTGCTAGAATATATTGCTAGAATATCGAAACTTTTTATAGTTTGAACTTTCTGATGATCGAATAATTATTTTCAGATTTGTGTATCCAACAAAAATTTTAAACACTTTAATAAAACTATTCGTTCCGTATGCTGATCTGTCGAAATAATCGAGATTTACGTTTTTCTCTAAAAACAGATACTTGTACCATCAAAATTGAATAAACGCAGCCGAATACTTTTAGAAATTAATTGATACTCCATATAGAATGCTCGAGCGAAACGCTGAATTTTGACGAGAGGATAATATTAATTATTTATAAAAGAAAGAACGAGCAGCGAACGCGCGTTATTGTAATTGTACAATATTGCTCAAGATCAGACCGCGACAAACCCATAAGAAGCAACCATAAAAGCTCCATGGTTCGACCTGGTTATTACTGTAAATAAAGAACGTTCCTCGCGCGTTTTTTTAAGGCATCGTTATAGGTTGTAGGGCCCTATTAATTGCATTCGGTAGCGGTCGTACTTCTCTAGGCGAGAGGTAAAAATAATAGTAAATGAAGATACGCAGAACACTACTGTTATTATTGCTCCTACTACAATATTAGTCCTCCTTGTAACGAATTGCGGAAGAATTGTCCAACTTTTGCAACATCATTTTTTCATTGAATATATTTTGACAATATACGTCGTGTGTCTGTATGCGTTTGTATTTCCCCCTACGTCACTTCCTCTCCATTTTCCCATCGCAAATAAGTTTTCTTAAAAAATTCATTTTCGATTAATGTGTTCTCAAAGTTCCTGCGATATGGATATTAGTTGAAAAAAATGGCTATTTATTGAATAATAAATGGCAGTTTTGCGAAATGGCAATTTTATCAGAAATATTAATAACGATTAATTAAAAGAGCATTAAGTTCCTGCGCGTAACTTTTTTGCGCAGAAAACCTGTATGTTGTTTAATGTCGTTTTCCCTTTGGATATAAAACTGGACCTGGAAATTGCATATTATTCTTCTACTCGCGAAGTTCACAGAATTAGCTCTCGACAACAGAATCTGAAACTTTCCACGAAGGAGACATAATGGAAAGTCGCATGATGGCGTGCAAACCAACGATGGTGAACCAGAATTTCACCTAACAAAAACCGGTGCACACATTGTCCATCCTGTCTTACCAGTTGGTCAACTGGTAGGCATGGATTCACTGACCGGCAATAATGGCGGAATATTCTAACACGCTCCATTTATACGTAAAATTATGCGTAAAAAAAGGATATACATAAAGTCGTTCCAAAACAATATCATGTTTTTAAATTGGTCGAAAAGAAGGATTTAAATCACAAGCCTGCAACACTGTTTTATTCTGTTCACTGCAATTTTAGAATGTGAATCTGTCGCATTTGCTTGCAATTTCACAGAATATCGGGGAATAAATACAGACATATTAATATAAAATCAAATCGAATCTCAATACTTTCACGAGTTCCCGCTCGTTATTTACATTTTCCGTCTTATTTACGGGCTTTGTTCATTCAAACTACAGGCGACATGCAGCATTCATTGGATTTCTTCTGGATTACGCCGTGATGTCAACGATTTAATGGTTTGATTATGTGGAGCTATGAAAATGCGATGCGTCTTAAAGCTGAAATTATATCTTCTATGGCGAACCGAATTACGCAACTGTGTATAAATTACACTCGTCGAGCACAGAAGTGGAATTCTGTACGGCCATAATAGTATTTTTTTCCTCCAGTAAAGACTGGTAACTAGCGTCCGTTATAGGACATCATAAACATCCTACTTGCCGGTCTATTATGGCATCTCTCGTTTTTGTTCTACAAAAGAATTGTGACACGAGAAACATGAGTTGACAGATTTAATATAAAAGAAGCAAGAATCTGAGTCAGCTTCGGTAACAATAAAATAAAAATACAATAAGAGCAAGTATATGCTTTTTCAATGATTTTTATAGGGATAAATGGTAGAAGTAATAGATAAATTTAATATCAATTACGGTATAACAGTTATAATTTATGATACATTAAACCTGATAGTCAAGAGAGAAAACAAAAGGTCTCGATCAGGCACGTGATTTATTTATTTGCCACACGCGGAGATTTTACTTGTATAAGTTCGAGCTACGATTTCCTGTCTACTCGTCGGGAGCTATAAAAAAAGGTCTATATAAATGTTGTTTCACGAACATCGCCCCGCGTTCTGATTTCTAAGAGAACTCCGCGTTCACACAGGATTGTGACTGCGGCGAACAGCTTTCCTTCGGCCATGCAATATGCATCGTGTTGCATTCAGGACGCATAGCGAGCGCGCCGATGCGATTTCAGCGCACGATTATTCGTTGAATTTCTATTCCAAAAAAGGACGACGACAGATAAAAGGAACGGCACTATGGCGTCATCTGCGACGACTGAGAGAGACGGACACCCTTCGCAATTAATGTAGGTTCCGTTACTTTCGAAAAATAAAACTGCTCGTCTATAGTTATTTTTGGTTAAATATTATAATATACGGAAGAAACAATTTTGTTGAATTATTTAAAAATTTAACTAGATACCAATTTAAAAGTACCCGTGTGGAAATTTATCCGGGAATTCCGTACTTTCATACTGGCCCTATATGGGCATTACTGAGGCATCCAAAGTAAAAGTTTGTCAAACTCATGCCCATTTAGGATATAGTTAGGATAGTTTAACTTAAATTCCCTAGTCACGGCCCGAACAGGGCCTAGTTTGGATTCCACTTTTTCTCCAAGGTAGTGTTATACTTAGGCTTGCCCAGTTGCAACCCATATAAGGCTCAATTTGATCTCAAATTTTCTTTGATAATAGTTTAATTTATAGGATATCCTATAACTATCCCTTAAATAGGCTTGAGTTTGATAAATCTTTATTTTGAATGCCTCATAATGCCCATATAGGGCTAATATTGTAAGAAATTTAGAGGAAACAGGCACAATTAGAAAAGCTATTAGTGTCAAGGCTGTGTAGCTCAGTGGCAGGACGGAAGTCTATTAATTTACAGAAGACTAGGCCTCGGTTCGAATCTGAATGTTCGATTCCCGGAACGCTCTGATATATTTTTCTTACTTATTTCTTACAATATTAAATACGATGGGTATAAGTTTCCTCACGGATATATCAGCTCTACTTACAGTTTTATAAAATATGCCCAGGTTAAAATTTTTACACTCTTGGCTCAATTTTGGATTGTCAGTCTTTTTAATGTAGGCTTCACATTGGCCTTTAAACCTGGGCCAAGTTTGAAGACTAATGTAGGGCCTAGATAAAAAAGTGTGACAATCCAAAATTGAGCCAAGGTGGACATCCTAACTTGGGCTTCAAATAATGTAAAGAAAGTTAACTTGACCCCGATTACAGCTTAGAAAGAATTTCCACATGGGTAATTTTGTTGGACCATCAAAATAATTACTTAAGACGCTTAAATTGATTGCTATAATGCAAAACTTTATACAGCATTACTGATTATGCTGAGAGACAAACATAGTTATTTTGATAATTCAACTAAATTTCTTTTAAATTTTTAGATATTCTAGCAAAATTGTTCTTTTTATGTATATACTATATATTAAAAATACAGAAATATGAAGTATGTATACAATATTAAGAATCTTTAGATCGCATATGTAAGAAACACAATCAATACTAGAAAAATGTCTATTATGGTCGAAGCTGGATCTTCATTGTTTTTAAATAATTCAATCTTGAATTATTAATATACACTATATGTGTACTTGCATATATATCATATTATAGTCTTTTAGAACTACGCGCCGAATTATTTTCTCGAACTATAAACGCAATTAAAATTACTCTAGTAATCGTGATTTAAATTGACAAGCAATTTAATAATTTGATGCTACCGTAAATGTGTAAAGAATTCTAAAGAAAATGTAGACTTCCTCATATTTTTGAAAAAAATGTTCTAATTTGTATTTAAAAACAAATTATATGTATATATTCCTATAAAATTATTTCGATTCTTCAACAAAATTATTTTTGAATCTACACATATTTAACTAAATTTTTAGATACTTTAGCAAAATTGCTCTTTCCGTATAGAAATTTTGAGGGAGAAATTATACGTATTTTTCACTATTTATTACTCTTTCTTATCATCCATTATTTATTAATGTGTTCTTATTCATTCATTCGCTTAATTTTCTTCCGTTAAACTTTAATGTCTTTTTAATTAAAGAAACGTCTGCAATTTTGTCAAAAAAAATCTACTATGTATTCGTACATTGTTTTATTGTCGTTGTTTTTCGAAAAGAGCAGTCTTTAGGAAGATTTCCTCTACACGGTGTTCTCTTCGACAGTCTCTTATCCTGCGAAGAATTCACAAGAACACGATTGATGCCACGAAGGGCCGTCCGTTGCATTCGATGAAGTAAGTAAATGAGACGTCGATGTTCAACACCGTCGCACTGTCATCGACGATTTTCTGTTCGCGTAGTCCTGCATCGATCATCCGTGTTATCGGTATCTCGATCCTGGAACCGGTCAGAGGACAGAAGACAGTAAACGAGCCTCTCGGCATCGGCCATGGAGATCTAGGAATCCATCGGCCGCCTCCGTCACGCCTCATCGGTTTTTAGAATGAACGATCTTCGAATGTGACTGGAACACGCGCGAGTTTGTTCCCCCATTGATTTTGATAGGAGATCGAAAATAGCTCACGATTCCGGCGCCCGTCTCAATCTCAGACTCGTGCGCCCGTGAAACTGATATTCGGATGAATATCGGATGGATGTTGAGAACTTCTCGGAATCGATATTAATCGATAGAATCCTATGAGAAATCTATAAAGATGTTTATATCCACTGAATCTGCAGTGTTAATAAATAAATAATAACCGATAATAAAATAAATAAATAAAAATATATATAGTAATTATTTTTGCGCATTTTTCATACATTTTATTTTCATACCTTTTTGAATTATGCGCTCGGACTGGTGACAATTAAAAAACGTGGAAACACAATCGAATTAATTAAGACTTCATTCAGAATGAATAATTCCGATTGCTGACGCCAACGATATAATTAATTATAATGACCGCAAATAGCGGTGGGAATTATGCAAGCAATAGAGATAGTGAGTTGGCGATAACGCTTTGGGATTACTTCTTTAGTGCTCCAATTGCAGAATTTAGAACCAGCTGCGACAAATCTTTAAAAGCATCATTTATTACTCTTAATTACACTTCTTGTACACTTTACACTTATTAATATACTTTCAAGAACTTTCCGTAATCTAAAATACATTTTGCTCATCCCAGTTGCATGTCACGTTTAACTTTTCCTATCTGTCCTCTTCCATCTTCATTTCACTTTAGCTTGTTTTAGCTCCCTTATCGCGATGAGAGATTCTGCGAACCGTTCTTTCCGCAACCGAGAAAGTGTAAAAAAGAGTGTCGTTAATACGCCTCCGCCACGTGACATTATTTCCTGGTGCGGTCGTTCTCATTAGACTCCGCTTCCTGATTTTTTAATACCTCGCAGCTCTTCCGCCACGCGCGGATACACCTCGCCTCGGCTTCACTTTCAGTCAGGCTCATCATAGCACTTGCAGCCCGTTCGGTTATCACGAGTCCTTTCCTGAGCGATGACATCTCGCACGGCCACCCTTTCGCCAACCCCTTTTTT